TTTTCACCAATTCCTTCAGTGCAGCTTGGACTTCTTCCTTCAATACCATTGGTTCTTGATCATATGCTACCTCCCAAAATAGTTGGACATCGAGCAATTCTTTTTGATACAGTGACTGTGTATTCCTTCCATCTTTTTTTTCATGGTTACCTCATCATTCAAGTTTTTATCCATAGAAACCTTCAATATTGCAACATGAGGTTTGAATTTTTCTTCAGTTCTTTCACCTTAAGAAATGCTGAGCATGTTCTTCCCTTTTCATTTTCTAACTCTACACCTTTGCATTTTTCATTATAATACTACACTTTTTCTCTGGAGCTGCCCTTTGAAATCTTCTTTCAGTTCTTTTATTTCAGCATTTCTTCCATTTGCTTTAGCTACTCTATGTACAAGAGCAACTTTCAGAGTCTCTTGTGACATCCATTTTGGTCTTTCCTTCCTTTCCTGTCTTTTTAATGACCATTTGCTTTCTTCATGTATGATGTTCTTGATGTCATCTCACAATTTGTCTGGTCCTCAGTTATTGGTGTTCAATGCATCAAATCTATTCTTCACATGGTCTCTGAATTCAGGTAGGATATAATCAAGGTTGTATTTTGGTTTTTGTGGACTTATATTAATTTTCTTTAACTTCAACTTGAATTGTGTATGAACAATTGATGGTCTGTTCCGCAATCAGCTCCTGGTCTTGTTCTGATTGAACATATTGAGCTTCTCCATTGCTTCTTTCCACAGATGCAGTTGATCTGATTTCTGTGCATTCCATCTGGTAAGGTCCACATGTGTAGTGCTATTTATGTTGTTGAAAAAAGGTATTTTCAATGAATAAGTCACTGGTCTTGCAAAATTCTGTCATGTGATCTCTGGTGTCATTTCTATCACCAAAGCCATATTTTCCAACTACCCATGATTCTTCTTTGTTTCCAGCTTGAACATTCCAATTACTAGTAATTATCAATATATCTTGATTGCATGTTTGGTCAATTTCAAACTGCAGGAGCTGGTAAAAAAAATCTTCATTTTCTTCATCTTTGGCTTTAATGGTTGGTGTATAATAGTAATATTGAGTAATAGTCATATTAAATGGTCTTCCTTGTAGGCATATGGATATTATCCTATCACTGACAGCACTGTATTTCAGAATAGATCTTGACATGTTCTTTTTGATGATGAGTACACCATTCCTCTTCAACTGTGTCATACCTGTCATAGTAGATCATATGATCGTCTGATTCAAAATGGTCAATATCAATCTATTTCACCTAGGATATCGATCTTTATGCATTCCATTTTATTTTTGACAACAATCATGTTCTGATTATTAATGAAAGTTTGCAGCTGTTTATTCCCATTTTGAGGTTGTTCCATCAGCAAATGCAGGTCCGAAAATTTTACTCCATCCACATCATTAAGGTCAACTCTACTTTGGGGAGACAATTTTCCCCAGCCATATCTTGTGTGTCTTCCAACCTGAGGAGTCCATATTCAGGCACTATGTCAGACAGTGTTTCATGGCTATTCGTAATGTTTTCTGGTAATATATCAGACAATGTTTCACTGCTACTTATAAGGTTTTCAGTGGCCAGTTTTTTCGGAAGCAGATGGCCCCATCCTTCTTCCCTATCTGTCTTCATCTGGAAGCACCACTGAAACCTGTCCAACCACAGGTGACCTTGCTGGCATTTGAAATACTTGTGGGTAGCGCCAACCTCACAGCAACATGTACACCACCAGAGTATGACAAACTGACTGACAAATAGTGGATTTTCATGATATTATTCAATAATTTCCACATCCTGTTGGATCACCTTTCTTTGGGATGGGCATACATATGGGGCTTTTTCAGCTGGTTGGCCAAGTAGCTGTCTTCCCTGCTAAATGCCAGACACTGTACTAGGCACTTATGTACATTATCTTCAATCTTTAAAATTCCTTACACAAAGTAGTTTTATCCTTGTTTTATGTTCAGGAATACTGAGACTTGGTCCCAAGTATTTGACTTACTATGTGGCAGAGCTGGGAGACCATTGCAGGTCTGTCTAAATTTATTATTCATTGCTCTTTCCAATCACCACACTGCCTCTCCATAGTGTAAGTTTCTCTTTGCAAACACATCAAAGAATCATCTGGCATAGTTCTATGAAGAATCATGAGATCTAATTAATATTGGAATGTTACTAAAGTCTCAAAAAAGCACACTTCCAAAAGGACTTTGGAATATGATTAGGTATTAATTTAGCCTTTTAATAAAAGTATTTTAGTTGGTTAGAGTAAGTTAAAGTCTTTATCTAAGAAATGCACTAAATCTTCGTAGTAAAGAACTCATTCACAGCTTTAATTCATGAGCAGCAATTTGGCAAGAATAGCAAAATAGAGCAAAGCTACATTTGTGTATAACATAACCAAATTAGGAAGACTCAAATATTTTACCTCCTCAAAATTTTATGATGCTTCTACTAATGCAACTAAATAATATGTTTAATAGTCCTTATGCTGATAATATAAATGATAGTTTAGGATAACTGATGTAATCTCTAGGAATTCAGTATGTCACTAAAAATACTCACTGGTTGTTATTTTATAGAATTTTGCTTAAGTTTGACAGTGACAGTAAAATGAATAAAGAATATAGTTTTGAAGAACCAGGGGAAAAAAAAATAAATGATTTGAGTTATTTTAATATTCTTTTTATTTACCTCTCTCTCAGTTGCTTACCTCTTCACTTTCTCTGAAAGGAACCAGCAGTTTCACACTTCCCAAGAAACAGTGCTCGTCCTTTGTTTCTGAGGCAACTGTGACTGGGGAAGGGGAGGATTATTTCCATTCCTTGTTTGGTGACTCAAAGAAATCTACTGCCAGCTCAAGCCACATGGAGAAAACATGGAAACACTTTTCTTTGATTCTTGAGGAAGTTGGTCACTCTAGATCCAGGTACACATTCTATTCTAACTATTTAATATGTTCTACTGGGGATAGGAATGAGCTCTGGTGTCACAGTGGTTAAGACATTTGGCTGCTAACCAAAAGGTTGGTAGTTCGAACCCTCCAGCTGCTTTGTAGGAGAAGGATGAGACAATCCACTACCATAAAGATTTACAGCCTCGGAAACCCTATGGGCAGTTCTACTCTTTTAGGGTCACTGTGAGTCAGAATCAACTTGCTGGCAGTGGGTTAGGCTTTAAAAAAATGGTGGTAGGAACAATAAATCAGCAGGAAATAAAGCTCTAATTTGTTAGTAGATCCATAATTTCATGTAAAACCCTAGGAAATTTCATTGAAACATAATTATTTCATGTTCTGAGCAATTAAGGAGCTGTATTGGAATAGTGGTTAAAACATTGGTGGTTCAAACCCATCAGCTGCTCCATGGAAGAAAGATGAAGCAGTCTGCTTCCATAAATATTTACAGCGTTAGAAATTAAATGGGGTTGCTAAGAGTCAGAATCAACTCAATAATAGTGAGTTTGATTCTTTGGGTTTTCTAAACAATTAAAAACAATTGATCAAGAATGAATTCAAAGTGGAACAAGGACCTAAATATGAAAACTAAAACCATAAAATTCTTAGAAGAAAATATAGGAGTGTGCTGTGGGACTTAGTTTTTACTGATGGGTTATGAAATATGACAACAAATATAAGCAGCAAAAGACAAAATATATAAATGGGACCTTATACAAATTAAATGTTCTTGTTCATCAAACGACATTATCAAAAAAGTAAAAAGACAACTTACAGACTGGAAGAAAATTTTTGGGAGCCATATATCCAATAAGGGCCTAATAGCCACAAGAATATATATACACACACATATACATATATATACATATATACATATCACATATACTCATGCACAAACACATTTACATATATATCTTCCACAACTTAACAATAGCAGCAAAAAAATAAATCCAAAAATGGGCAAAGTACTGGAACAGACATTTCACCAAAGAGAATATTCAAATAGCCAATAAGTACATGAAAAAAAAAAAATGCTCAAAGTCATTAGTTATTACAGAGATGAAAATTAAAATTGCAATGAGATAATACTTCACCCCTATTAGAATGACAGCAGTCATGAAAACAGAAAACAGCAAGTGTTGGTGAGGTTGTGAGGTAACTAGAACTTTCATCCATTGCTGGTAGGTATGTGAAATGGTGCAGCCACTGTGGAAAACAGTTTGGCTGTTCCTTAAAAAGTTGAACACAGAAATGCCATATAACCCAGCAATCCCAATCCTCGATATATACCGAAAGAAGTGAAGGCAGGAATACAAACAGAAATCTGTAAACCAACGTTCATTGCAGCACTTCTCACAATAGCCAAACATTGGAATTATTTATGGTTATAGTTTAAACATGAGGTAGAACTTGGTAGTAGTGACTACTTTCCTCTCCACTACATTAAGGATCATTAAAAAGATCTTTAAAACTTTCAGGTGTGGGGGCTTCTCTCATGTAGAAACAATAGACTGAGTCAAGTTCCCTGAGTCTTTCCTTTAAACCCTAAGGTAGTACTAAATGCTTTACCCCTTCACCTGCCCCTCTAACCACAAACACAGCTGCTAACCTGTATAAAGGATATTAGATAGATATAGCTTGGAAGAATTGAAACTCTAAAGATATTTCCAGTGAACTACAGTGGCAGAAAACTCCAAGAAGCAATCTAAAAGCACATAAATAGCAGGCAGCAATCAAAATAAATCCAACTACTACATAAACCAATGTTTAAGTAATGGAAAGCTATTAAGAGAAAAGTAGCAGACAGAAGATACTAGAATATATCCAATTAGGGCATTGGGACTGAAACTATAGGCCTACTGGGCACCATTTGTGAAAAACTGATTCTAAAATTCACAAGCAGTATGTATCTTTTAAGTCCCTAAGCATTTGACTGCTAACTAGAAGGCTGGCAGTTCAAACCCACCAGCCACTCCTCGGAAGGAAGGTTGGGCAATCTACTTCTGCAGAGATATGCCTCAGAAACCCAAGGAGGCGTCGCTATGAGTCGAATCGACTAGACGGCAGTGAGTTTGGTTCGGTCTAACAAATAACCATAAATTTAGCAACTTAACACAAATAGCACCCATTGGTTAACTCACAGTTCTATGGTTCAGAAGTCTGGGTTGGCTCAGTTGGTTTCTCTTTGTGAGTCCCACAATGCTGAAATCAAGATGCTGGCCAACTGGACTCTTATCTGGAGGCTTAGGAGCAGAATGTGTTTCCAAGCTATTTCAGGTTATTAACTAAATTCAGTTTCTTGCGGTTGTAGCTTCTAGAAGTGTCTCTCATGTCCTTGCACATGAGCCCTTGAATCTCAGAGCTAGCAGCAGCACACTTGAATTCTCTGACTTTCCATCTGTTGGTGCTCTCTTCCACTTCTAGCTTTTAAAAGGGTTCATCTGACCAGATTGGGCACACGTGGATAGTTCATGATTATCTCCCTATCTTCAGATTCAAAATATTAATCACGTCTGCAAAGTCCCTTTGCCATGTAAAGTAACATAATCCGAAACTGTATAGATAATAGAGATGGCATTACAAATAATCAGGGAGATGATGGCCTACATAATAAACAAAGCTAAGAAGATTAGTCAATTGTTATGTGCTGTTGAGTCAATTCCAACTCATAGAAATCTTAAAGGACAGGGTAGAACTGCTGCCTTAGAACTTATGGAAGCAGCTTGCCACTCCTTTACACTATGGAGCATCTGGTGGGTTCAAACCTACAATATTTCAGTTAACAGCCAAGCACTTAACCACTGTTCCATTACAGTGCACTGTCTCCTCTTCCCATCACTTCCCCTTTTCCCTAGCTCCCTTGCACACAAATATATACTATTTTTTTCTATACACACAAGTTAAAACTTTGAAAGCAAATCCTTAAAAAAATATTTTAAAGAAAATATGACTTAAGTGTAGAGAAAATTTTCATATTTCGATAACAAGCAGAAATTATGAAGAAAAGATTAATAAATTTCACAACAGTAAAAAATTTAGTAGTTTAAACTTTTGACATCTTAGAGACATCATGCCAAAAAAAAAACCAAACTCACTGCCATTGAGTCAACTGCAGCTCATAGCGACCCCACCTTGGGTTTCTGAGGTGGTATCTCTATCTAAGTTGATTGCCCAATCTTCCTTCTGAGGAGTGGCTGGTGGGTTTGATCTGCCAGCCTTCTGACTAGGCACTATGCCGCCAGAGCTATCACAGAATGAAACTCTGCCCAGTTCTGTACCATTCTCACAATGGCTGCTATACTTGAGCTCTTTATTGCAGCAACTGTATCACTTCATCTCATTGAGTGTCTTCCCCTTTTGGCTGACCCTCTACTTTTACCAAGCATAATATCCTTCTCCAGGGACTGGTCCCTTCTGACAAAAGAACCAAAGTATGACAGATGAAGTCTGGACATTCTCAAGTTCAAGGAGCATTCTGGCCCTACTTCCTCAAAGACACATTCGTTCATTCTTTTAGCAGTCCTATATTCTTCACCAACACTGCAACTCAAATGCACCAATTCTGTAGTCCTCTTTATTAATTGTCCAACTCTGATATGCATCTAAGGCTATTGAAAATACAATGGATTGGGCCAATGTATTGCATTGGGCAAATCTGCTGAAAAAAAAAAAAAAAAAAAAACTTCTTTAAAGTGTTTAAGAGCAAAGATGCCACTTTGAAGACTAAGCTGCACCTGACCCAAGCCATGGAATAATTATTTATTAGGAAAATGAAAAAAAAAAATCTATATATAAAAGAAGACAAAATTCACAGAGGGTAATTAACAGAAGAGGAAAACTGAGTGGCCAATAATTACTTTATTCAACCTAGAATCAGGGAAAAGCAAATCAAAATAACATACCATTTTACACCCGTCATACCGGAAAAAAGTAAGAAGTCTGAAAACTTCAAGTGTTGCTAAGGATATGAGGAAAAAGAAGAGGGAATATCACATGTATGGGCAATGGATAAATCCTGCAATAGCATTAATTATGATAGGTCTTGCAAGAAATTTTTTGTTGTGCAGTTTAAGCATGGGATAGAAAGTAGGGGGAAAAAAAGAGCTTAAAGAGGCTGACAGACTATATTGGGGCTTTTTTCCATGCTGCAGAATTTGTGTTTTATCTGAAAGGAATGGCAAAAAGGATTTCCAGCAGGGAAGAAGCAATGCCAGGTGTGAATTATTGAAAGCCTGCTCTGGAATAATACTGGAGAACAGTTAGGTGGGAGAAAGACAGGAGACTGACAAACCAGTTAAAAGGCTTTTATAGCAACCCACAGAGACAGTGAGACCCTAATGAAGACAGCAGCAATAGAGATGGGGAAGTAAAATACACAGAAGAAAATAAAGAGGTTGAATCAATGGAACATAAACACTAATATGGTGTGAAACAAAAGGGAAAAAGAAAGGCATGAGTTTCAGTCTTGGCTAAAGAGGTAAATGATGATATAATTCACTGAAACAGATTTCACATTTGGTAGAATAAATTTACAACAAGCCAAATAATTAGTTCCGTGTGGGTCATGTTGATTTAGGGGCCTCGAAGATAGTTGTTGCTGTGGGTATAAAGCTCATCAGGAAAATCCAGGTGAGAGATTTAGATGTAGCAGTCATAAGTGTAGTAAATAGTTATTGAAGCCCGGTTCATGGTTGCTATCACATAGATAGGGTGTGATGAGAACAGAGGAGGGCTAAAGACAGACTCCCATAGATCAACGTTAGAGAGATGGGTAAAGGGAGAAAAGCATGAAAAAGAGACTTAAAATAAGCAACCAGCCTGGTAGAAGGAAAACAGTAGACTTAGGGAAACTAGAGGAGGAGTTTTTAAAAGAAAACATATCTGACAGAGACAAATACTATAGACACTGAAAAGTTATCACTCAATTTACCAACTAGGAGGGCATTGGTCATTTTGGCCTATAGCAGAAGGAC